TTTTTTAAGATAAAGAAATACAAAAATAAAATAAAATAGAAGAAAGTGTGAACCTAAGGTTACGTCAAAGTTATTCTATCCTAAAATTCACATGCAAAAGTTAATCACTTAAAAAAAAACTAAGTTTTCCTAGTCTAAAAAAATAAAATAAAACCGCTAACGGGAGATTCGCGGTATAAAAATTTGAGGTACTTATTTGGAAGATAAAGCTATCGTTTGCCCTTTTTTCCACCTACGCACGCTCCAATAAGAATATCTAAGCTTTGAATGTCCCAAAATGAGTCCCCAATTTGAATCAACAATTTTTTTTTAGAACTGGTTTACCACATAACTACTTTGTGGAACTGGTTTAGATTCTTGTTTAGGCCTGAATTAGGACAGTGCTACACTTGTAGCCAAACAGAGGGATTTGGGCCTTGATATATAATATATATAAGATATATTATACATATATACCATATATGTCTCTGAAGTCTAGCAAACCCAGAAGAGGCAAGTGCTGCAGCCACGGGGCGGCGAGGAACAGTCGGCAGTGCACCGGCCAGAGGGATGATGGCGGTTGTGGATGGCTCGGATGGTGGAAAGATGCCGAAGGCTTGATGGCAGTGATAAGGAACTGTGGCGGTGAGCTCGGCTTGGATGGCTCGGATGGTGGACAAAGGTGTGCTCGGCTGGAGCTTGCGAGTAAGGTGGAGCTCGGCTGTTTCGGCTTCGAATGGCGGCAGTGCTCCGAAGGTGGCGACTGTGATGGACGGTGTTTTGTGCAGCGGCGGTGACGGCTATGGGATGGCTGGTGGTGGAGAGATGGGAACGGGTTGGGTTGCGGAGGCCCAGATTGAGCCAATCGGTGATGAGTTCGGCAGTAATAGAGCGATGGCTGACGAACAACATGGTTCTCCGGTCTGATGAATTACTGGTGGAGACGATGGCGACGACGAGGTCGGCAGTGAGCTCCGGGCTTGGCTAATGGCTGGTTCGGTGATGGAGGATCCGTGGTTGTGGGAGGCTCGGCTGACTTGTGACAAAGCGGTGGTGATGGATCCGGCGAGCAAGGGCAGTGGGCTTGCGGTTGGCTTGACTGTAAATGGGTTTTTTTTTTTTTGATACTGTATAACAAAAGTTATGCTTATATATATATATATATATATATAAGACACCAGCACAAAACAGTGAGCAAAAAGTTTTTTTTTTTTTTTTTTAATTGAAAAATAGAGTAACAAAAGAACCTTAGCAAACAGTGAGCAAGGCTTACTCTTCCAGTGTAGGATCAAAACGAAATACATAAAATAAAATAAACTGACCCAAAAATACCAAATAGAAAATAGATACATAATTGAAGAAAGATGGGTCCAAAATTAAAAACTCAACTTTGAAGCAGCAACAACGCCATTTGATAGGCGTGTATTTATGGACTTGTCGTTGTCAAATATACTCCATATCAAGATAAAGTACTTACAACCATTTAATTAAAAATGTCTAATGGCAAGTAGGGTCGAAGCACACATTCAAGTGAATTTTTGTTTTCGGATAAGAGATTTTTAAAACATTGATTTTGGAGTTTGTCACTAACTAGAAATGAATATTGGACAACAAATATTTAAAGCAATATTAGAATGAGAAAGTTCAAGTATATAAATTGAGAGCAAGAAACTGATAGAGTAATAAAATAACAATAAATTGAGAAGAAAATTACAACTAGAAACAACAAGGAAAACTTTAAGAATCTATTATATCATTCTATCTCTCTCCCTCTCTACACCTTTTGAATGCTCCAGAGTCTGCTATTTATAGCCAAAATTATGTATCCACAATTGTTGCCTTCTGATCAATATTAACTTCTCTGACTTTTTTCTTCCTTCACGCCACCTCGCTACACCTTACTCTGACCACCGACCACTTCTGTATTGACTTCACCTTTTCTTCCTACCTTTGTTGAATTTTCTTTTCTTCTTTCTCTCTCCTCATTTCTCTTCTTCACGTGCATATCATTTCATTTCTCTTGTTGACTTTTGTTTTTCTTTTCTTCTTTCTATCTCCTCATTTTTCTTTTTCTTCTTCTTTAATGATGATATGGACCATTTTGTTACACCTTGGATTTGAACTTGAAACCTCTTGAATGATAATTTACACAGCACACCACCTTTCCTACAATGCTCCATATGTACATATTTTTTTGGTTATAAATAAATATAATCTTCCTTTTGCAGTCAATTATTCACTTATTTTCCATTTTTGTTTCTTTTTTTCTCATTCATGCATTAACACCTATAAAACACAAAACAAACATATAAGAATATTTAAAGAATATAAAACTCTAATTAAAAGCTTATTTTGATGTATGAAATAATAGGTTTTGTATACTTATCAAAATATATTTTTATATTTAAATTTTTTGCCTTTTAATTTTTTTAAAAATAGAGATTTCAAGAATTTTTTTTAAAAATACACCCCATTAAAGTGAAGTTAAAATACAAAATACGAAAATACCACTTAATGTAAATTTAAGGAAATTTAGGTTGTCTTAAAATGATTTTCATTTTAATTTTTTTTTTTTAATTTTTTTTTTTAAATCCAAGGCATTTTCATTTTCTTATAGATACACCATTAAAAAAAAAATTCTTACAAATTTTAACATCACTATACCAAATGAGTTATTTGTATTAATTTATATATTAAGAGAAACTATTTTCTTAAATTTGTATTAAGAGACATTTGCATTATAATAACATCACTTTCTAACCTGTTGGATAATTAAAGGAATTTTAGGTCACCATAAATTTAAAATAGAGGAAATTTAATGCAATTTGCCCTAAAAAAAAAATACTTCAACTTCATCTAAACTTTAGTGGTGTAATAGGTTCTCGTTGCTTGAACGCTAGTTTGATACTAAATCCTGCAGTAAGTGTTGAATTGAAAAGGTCTGCCATACCTAAAATAGTGAAATATTACCCAAATAAGTGCAAACCATCCGTCCAATATCCCTACAATTATAGAAAGAATACTAATGTTCATCAATTTAAAATAAAAGGACTTGGATGCTTTTGGATGACATTTTCAGATTTTTTTTTTTTTTTTTTTTGAAGTTCCAATTGTTTTTCCCAACTTGCTTCTAAGATGCATTTTGGGTATATATATATTTACATGGACTTTTATAAGATTCGGTCGGACAAATTACACGTCAGTAAATATTTAAACTTTATTATTTTGACAATTTCTAAAACTTGGTCCTCGCTGGGCAAAAAGTGGCTTTGACAGTAAAAAGGTAATAATGTCTTTATATTATTGTAATATGTTATACTCCTATTGAATTTTATACAAGAGAAGTGTAAACTTGTTATTTTATAAATTATTATCAACAATTTTGTTGGAAAAAAAAAATACTTAGGGTGTTGTTGAGCACATAGGCCAAATTTTTCCATAAGTCAAAGTGAAAAACGTTGCACGATCTATTCGCGTGTAATTTGTCCCAATCTTAGAGGAGGCCGGTGTAATTAATCCTTCGAACTTTTTCAAAAGGTTCCGGTCTACTTTTTCTTACTAATACCTTTCATTATACTATGCATGGTTTTCGTATCGACTGATTCGTAATCCATTTTAAGGATTCGATATCATTACACACCTTCATGAACCGGTCGATTTAGTCAATTTCACCGATATTTGCCCGATCCGTTACATTGCGATCAATACCGTGATCGATATGGCGACTACAAACCATGATACCATGTTAGTACCCTCTATTTGTTCACTCTCTCTAAGATAAGTCATCGTGAGCAAGCAGAGGTTTATGTTCTTATAGAGATGAACAACAATATTTTTTATTCACGCTTAGTAGATATTATGTCATGGGTCATCGTGGGAACTTGGGAGACACACATATTTCTCTTTAAGGTGTTGTAGCAGTATCGGATACTTAGACACTTGTTGAATACATATATACGGGACACATGTTGAATATTGCTAAAAGTATTTTGTATTGAACATTTTTTCTTTGGTCGCATACGACAATGATACGTGTTGGACACTTTTTGAATACGGTGGGGCAATTTTATAATTTTTTTTGTTTAGAAAAATATAATTCAATTCAGTCTAAAATATATTACGGGTTAATTAGAAAAATAATATAAAATTTAAGGGGAAAAAAAATTGTAACTCTAAGCTATAAATTATTGATTTTTTTATGATTATATGGATAACATGATAAAAAATATATTATATATATAATAATATATATTATATTATTATTTTTGACGTAATCATATCTTTTTTTCTTTTTAGATTGGTCTTCCATACATGTGTCTGTATTATTTTATTGTTTTTAAATTTATTTGTACCTAAATATTGTTTCTAAAATAAAAAAAAATTATATTGTCATTTGACTATTATGTGGATGTTAAAATTAAGAATGTGGCATGTTACATAAGGGATGTAACATTCATACGTTATATTGATACAACAATTATGTAATATATTTAATTCAAGAATGCAATAAAATTACATCCAAATACAACCATATATAACAACTCTACTTCAAGAATGTAAAGCATTTGTATTACATCATAAAGTAATAATACTGTGTTTTTGATGTAATAAAAAAAAAAAAAATGAACAAAACGGAGAGGAATCAGGTGACAATAATTCTCGATTCAAATTATCTAATAGATCAAATCAATTCCAAATTCGATGGAGTTATTTTTATGAGTTCAATTAAATTTTGATTGAATTCCGAGTAAGTTTGATGCACTAGGGTAAACTCCGATTGACTAGAGAGTCAATCTAAATTGTGGTGAAATTTAAAAATAATAATCCAAATTCAAATTAAACAACAAAAAAACTAACTGAGTATGTCCAAAGACTAGATTCAGAATAATCCGTTGAAGTATAGTCATCATAGATATTAAATAACACATTAAATAGCATTATTGAAGTTCTCTACATCGCCCAAACGGGGATTGGAGCCCATTTACATGAGGCGTTTACTTTGGTGACGTTGTGCACTATGCGCTACACTCAATTCAATGTTGCCATCACTTTCACTCTTTCCCATCCAAGCAAAATTTCTTCTCTTTATTTCCTTTTCACCAAACGGACAACTCTACATTTCTATCAGCAAATCGTAGATTGCTGGGAATTAAATGGAAACTGATTCTGCGGTGGACTCTAATTGGCTATTGGACTTTGGCTTAATCGAAGGCATCTCCGCCGTTCCCGGCGGATGCTTCACCGAGCCTCCGCCGCCGGCCGGCACCGCCTTCAGCTGGCCCTGTCAACCTCTTCACGTCAACGGTTCCTTTAACGTAAGGTGCGTCGGTTTAGTTCCTGTTTTCTTCCCTTAATACTCCGTTTGGCTGCCGAGAAAATTTAAGGAATGATAAACAAAACGGAATACTGAATCATATGTTTCACAAAGTCACCTATACTAAGTCAACTACTTGCATTGGATTTATTTCCTTTTCATTTCCTGGACTATCTTTAGTAGTGCTACGTTTTTTTTTTTTTTTGAAGTCCTGTTTATTTTGTATTCTGTTTAGTTAAGTGATTAACCTCCTTTTAAGATTCAAAATTTGTACTTTATGGGCTGTTATTGGTTGTTGAATCTCTGTTGGGATTGATTAGTTCCGCTTAGATTGGAAGATCGAAAAAAAAATCCTCTCCAGTTATCCTCTCAGTGGATTGGTCCAATCCAGTGAGGGGGTAAAAAAGCTGACTTGGCATTAATTTGAGTTAAATTCATATTTATCAAACTTCTAATATATACATACAACTTTTGTATAAAACGCATCTGTTATTTAATGAATTTGACTTTCACTTCATGGACCCAGTTGATTGAAATTTGAACATCCCAAAAGAAAGAACCAAAATCCTATAAAAAGAAAAAAACTAGATGTAGAATAGAAAAATAACTACAGGAAAAACGATGCAGATTAGAAGAAACGATGCAGATTAGAAGAAGAACAATTAAAAAAGGAATTCTTATTCTGATCAAAAGTTGAATTTGTGAATCTTTATCTTTGATACGAATAATCCTTCAGCTTTTGATAAGATTTGGGGCCGAAGAAGAACAAATGATATACCAGTTAGACGGAAGAACAAAATAATAAAGAAATCTTACCAGAGTTAGAACTATTTCTTTCGAAAGGTAAAGTTGAATGGTATAATAATATACTCTATATAATATATTATATAAAGTATAACGTATTGATTGGTATTCGTACATGTGGCAAAATAAAGTGTAGTTGAGTAAATTTCTTTCTTCATTTGCGGACTTGGCGTTGACAAGAATATGTTAGGGAGGTGGCGTGAATTACCACCGTAGATGCTCTGGGGAGGATTTTTTTTCCTCAAAGAACATTGATAATGTAGAAGATAGATATTTCAGGAGATTCAAGCTAATTTCTATTTAGTAGGGTAACAGTTTGATGTAAAACTACTATTTTCTGTTAAATTTAGATTGGATCAAAGAACATTAAAATTACTTTTTCCTAACAATTCAAGAGCTAGAGTTCAAATTCATCTAAGCTTGCCTTTCTAATACATGAGTAATAGTTTTTAGATAGGTAGATATGAAACAACATTCCACCCATGGGTAAATTTTCAAAACAAACAATGCTTTTTGAAGTAAACTACCAGAAACATCTGTAATGGGCTAATATATAGTAAAGTAAAAGTTCTGGTTATGGACTTTCAATGTAAACTATTTCCAGCCTAACCTATATCTAAAGCATAATATAGTTCTGTACGGCCTGTATTCTAAGTGTTTTGCACATAGTGGATGCTATTAAACTCAAACCTGCACCCACAAGCTTGTCAACCCGAGCTTTTACCATTGCACCAAGATATGGCCCCTATGTGCCTCAAACGGCTTTCAATAGTAGGTAAATATGTGACTTTAGAACATCTTCTAAATGCACTTGACCAAGAAGTTGGAAGGAAGCCTCAACCTCATTGGCTAGAACTATAAGCATTATTATAAATAGTAGTTTTCCAATCTCTGTTTAGTACGGTAACAGTTTAATGTAGATTCAGTATACTGATTCTGTAGCTAGAGGTCATAGATATCTTTATATTTGACAATGCAGGACGGTTGTTTTTGAAGCAATCTTTGTGGAAATGATTGGAGAGACAAGCAAGGTTTGTTCATGTTAAGGAATTCTATTCTTCTTGATTTGAAGATTGATGAAAGTAAAGCAATTTCCTTAATAAATTATTAGAAGAGTTATGTACCGAAGAATAGTAATGTTCTGTTGCCCAAAAGATTCTGCTATCATAGAATTTGTTCCTTGGGGTGGCCTGTTTCATGCACAGGCTAGTTATAGTAATATTATTTTCTCTGCTTTTTTTGGGCTTCATCTTCACAACCAAGTTTTCTGTTTTCAGTGAGGAAATTGACTACTTATTTGGGGATTCAGAAGTCTTTAAGGAAGCTGGGCCACGGAAACGGTAATGATGTCTCATCTTCTCTTCTGTTAGTGCTGGTAAACAAGATTTTAGTGCTTGGACAATAGGTCTTGTCATTAAATTCCAATGAGGCATTATTATTTTAACTTGCACTTGTTGTATCTACCAATGTGTCCCTTGTTGTGTGTGCTGTTTGCATGTTTGTCTGCCACGAGGAATCTTTGGCATCTGTGGACTTTTTAAAGGCCATTACCAGAGCTCGTCCTGCTTGTGAAAGACAAGATGGACCTAGTCATTTTGCATAAACTGGCTGCTCTTAAACTTGAACCCTCATCTTCATACTTGTTAGCCTTTGTGCATTGAGGTTAATCTGAGGTCATGAAAACCAAATTAAGGAGGGCCCTGTTAACATGATTCCATAAATGTAACCACTGAGTCGCAGTACTGTCCTAGTAGCGATCAAGCAACAGTGTTACTGGACCAGAGTTGGTGTCTACAACTTGTGTCCCTCAATGCCTGAAGTATAAGATTTCCTAATTCTAGTTTGTTAGATTTGTTTTGTGACCTAGGTAACTTGGATGACTCAAGTGATTCAGGCTGTTTTTTGTCTATAAAAAGTAACAGTGATTGAGGATGGTTTTGCTTCCGCGTAATCAGCGTAGTAGACTCTCAAAAGTCAGAATTATTGATGGCGAGTCAAATTTTGAGACCTCAACAATGAAATCTAAGCTAATGAAACCTCTAACTTCCATTTATGATGCACAGAGTGAACATTTCAGTGTAGCATTTCCATTATGTAATGACTCATAAGATACAAGTGGAGTGTACTCCATGTATTTGAATGATACCTCCCTCTCTTCCACAATGATTTGGTTAATAATGAATGCAATTGCTTGTATAGGTTGAAGTCTGAATCACGTAGTGCATCTGGCTCCAAAGCATGTCGGGAGAAATTGCGAAGGGATAAACTGAATGAGAGGCATGCTATTGTTCTTCTTTCCTCATTCAGTGTTCTGTGTCTTTAATTCTCACATCTATTTTGGCATGATTTCAAGGTTCCTGGAATTGGGTTCTATCCTGGACCCTGGAAGGCCACCCAAAGCAGACAAGGTTGCTATTCTGAGTGATGCTGTTCGAATGGTGACTCAGCTACGGAGTGAAGCCCAGAAGTTAAGAAAGTCAAGTGAGGATTTGCAAGAGAAGATTAAAGAGTTGAAGGTGAGATTCAGAAGTGATCGTTTTAAAGCTTATCTTTCTTTATCTAAAGGATAAACTTCAGTTTAGAAATTGATGCTTTGTTAGCATCAGGATTTTGTTCTTCAGGGCTTGAATACCTGTCATGTTGTGTAAAGAAAATTAGTGAGATGTGTTCAATTCTCCATTATTGCAGGTGGAGAAGAATGAGCTCCGTGATGAGAAGCAAAAGCTAAAGGCAGACAAAGAGAAGCTGGAGCAGCACGTCAAAACCATGAGTGCAAAACCAGGTTTCCTCCCTCATCTCTCTGCAGTGCCAGCTGCATTTGCTACTCAAGGCCTAGCTGGTGGAAAGACGTTGATGCCTTTCATCGGTTACCCTGGTTTTGCAATGAGGCAATTCATGTCACCTGCTATGGTTGACACGTCGCAAGATCATGTGCTCCGTCCTCCAGTTGCTTAACTTGGCAGACTTAAATGTTTGGTTCACATTCTTTGTGCCAAAGAATTGATACACTTTTTTCTTTTTAGTCTTTAACTATGTTGACAACTATGTTGACGATGGTTTCCTTGAGTAGAAAAAGTTTGCTAAGGGTGATGGTTGATGTTTGGAAACTGGTGTGAATGTTTTCACTAATTGCATGTAACATAAAATAAGCAAATATATTGGTTGTGTTTGTTCATGATTGCGGGTTGATCCTCTCTGAATGAATAATGTTTGAATACTTGGCTACTAAGACAATTTTCTTTTAGAATTGGCAAGAGAAGCTGAAGTAGGTTTATAGACACCAGTCAGAAATGAAAATTGTCCCATTACATATCCCGATTTCATTGACTTGTGCTCAAACTCGTTGCTGAGTTTGGCCTGTCTGATCATCACTCAATCTATGGTCTGGTATGGTCATTGCTTCAGTTCTGAGGTTTTTATTTTTTTATTTTTATTTATGAAAAACCATGTGTAAAATACCTCTTTTTTTTTTGTTTCCTATAGCGTCAAAAACTTCCTTTGTGGATTGTATAATGTGATTGTTAGTGTTGTATGCTTGAAAGGACTTCATAAGAATTTTATACTGCTAATTGCTTGAGAAGGTAGATTACTAGATTGAAACTGGTGGTAGTGAAGACTTTGATGTGATTTTCTCGACTGTGTGTTTTATTATTGGATAAAATGAATGCTGTTAACGAGAATCTGTTTCTCAAACGCGCTGAACAGCGAGAACATGGAGAAGCATCAGAAGGAAAATCAGCTCACAGATAGTCGGAAACATAACAATTCTTGGAGAAATTTTGTTCAAATGCTTAAAGGGTCAGCAGCATCATCGTGACAAGACCCACTCCTGCTGTAAACCCTGTGAAGATATTGACTTTGCTTGCCAATGAGGGAGGTGGTGGCGGTGAAGGATCACTTAGAGGGGGAGAGCTTGCAGGAGATTCAGTGGAAGGAACATCAAGGGATGATTTAGGACTGCCAACAGGTACTTTGGATGCTGGAGGCAATGTGGGTGCAGAATGTGGCGAGTGTGCTGGTGGTGAGGCAGCTGGAGGAGTGGCCGGTGAAGCAGTTGGCGGAATTGATGATGGTGGAGGGCTTGCTGGAGAAGACGGTGGGGGTGCAGAAGCTGCAAGCGTGTCGATTTCAACCTTCATTCCTTGGCTACAATGCCCACTCGTTCCACAGATGAAGTATCTTTTCCCTGCAGAAGCCAGAGGGATGACTGTGTTGCCTCCCGTGTAACTCTGAACCGGGCTACTGCTCTGGCAGGAGTCATAGTTTGCCTTTGTAACTTCAACCACATCATGGTTTATGGTGTACACGAAAACTGCAAGTAAAGAGCAGGTAATATATCAATCTTTTTTCAACGTGTTATATTCATATCACAAGTTCTGTTTATATCAACAATTCTTTTCAGGGTCTAGTAACTTAGAGGCATTCTAGTACCAAGAAGACCAATTTAAAGCAAGTATAATTTCTCTGACTTTAACTTACTCAGATTATCTCCGATTGCAAATGATTGAGAGGATGCCCATGTTTGCAGGTCACTGCTTGTATCCCATCCACCGTTGGGAGCTCCGACCGTGTAATTGGCAGCCATGGCTTTGTTGAGCATGGCTATAACAGCCAAGCTCACTAGTGTTCTCAGAATTGACATTTTCGGCACGAAGTGGGAATGTGAGGAAGAAAGAGCTCCAAAATTAGGATGCACAAGTAAGTTTCAGAGAAGAGATTGCATTGGTTTTTTGGATTGAACAAGATTCCTATTTATATTCAAGAAGGGACTAAGAAAGAGTCCTTTTGGAATAAAGATAAAGTTTATGGTTTACTCACTCCATTTTATTTAAGTATCATGAAGAGATGCCAATGACAGGTATGTTTGTCAGAAATTCAACCTCCATTTTTTTTTTTTTAAATTTTTTTATCTACCTTAACCGTGTTTTGCCGTTTTAAGTTCGTACTTTCTGGTTTAATATTTTCCCAATTGTTCATTGATGTAGATTAATTTATGGTGTTGTGATCTTGACTTTGTTTTTCCATCCGAAGTTCACACTTTCTGGTATAATATTTCCCCAGTTGCTCATTGATGTAGATTAGTTTATGGATTGTGATCTTGACTTGGTTCAAATACAGGTTTAGTTTACGCGGTATTTCTAAGGTGAATATATATAAAACATCATGCTAAAGAAATGGAGTATAATAAATTTATTTTTGTGAATTTCAACTTAAAATGGTACAGTACATAATATTACATTGTGTACATTCTCAGAGCCTAGGGACCCGAGTTTTAATTGCAGCAAAGATGCTTCCATTTTCAAAGATTGGTTTTTGTTATTGATTAATATCACAGATAAACACTCTAAGAGGACAGAGATTCTTCAAATTGATACATTTATACGCGTAAATAAAGATATGTAGTCTTTGTTTTTAGATCTCTTGTGCCTTTTTACATAAAAAAAAAAAGTAAAATATTTTTAAGAAGTTGTTAGTGGGCATCCATGTGAGGACAAGAGGACATTTTCTTGAGAGGTTGACCTAACCCGTGCAATTAGCTAAGCCACCACTGCAACTTCTAAATGACAAATTAAATATCTTTGAAGCTGTCATCATGAGAATGGGCGCACGTTAACCTGATGTGTAAGTGTTACATGTGGATTGGATGTAACCAATAATGAATTATTTGGGTTGTTCACTTGTTCTACCATTATATATTATACATGTATTCACACATATATGATATATATACCCCCAACTAATTTGAAATCAACGGTCGGAAACCAAGCTGGCAAACCTCATCGCTACACCATAACCACTTGACCAGGTATGGTTGGTCGAGTCAAATATAATGGATGGTGCTAATTTACGAATTGCACTCTATTTTGATCAAATGGAGATACATTATAACAATAACTTGGTCCAAAATTTTAGAACTTGAGAAGTGCCACGAATGATCTTCGCAGTAACCGCAGGTGGGGTAACCAGTGGACATGTCATTCAAGCTAAAAAAAAAAAAAATTATATATATACATATATATATATACAGACACACTGTTATTTGTTCTAAAAATTAACCGATAATAAATCAAACCCACAAACTTTACGTGATTTGTCCAATAATTAAGATTATGTTCATGGATTGTAGGAATTTCACGAAAAACATACACAAAATACTATAGGCCATAGCCTAACTTTAGATGTGTTCTTGCGCAGCCATATACATGTTCCAAGTATTTGAACTCCACATGCCACAAACAAAAATTGCAACTAGAGTTTGAGCAAGCCTTTCCTGTGGCTATTGATGAATTGTAAAAAGACTAGAATTTTTGATAAACTAACCTTAATTCAGAGTATCGACACTTCATAAATCCCATGATTCTCTAATTTTATTGAATCATATTACTAACATCCCTGCTCATTTATGACATGAAACCTTGGGGTAGTGTATTTGTACTATCAACTACAGTACTGAAGTACACTGTACTTTCTATCAACCAATAGTACCACTGTACTAGTACTTCTATCAATCTCTAAAAAAAAAATGGGTATCAAATGAATTTAATGATGTTCTAAGCACGAAAATAAAAAGGAAAGACCTTGCTTAAAATGTAACTCTAAGAACAATTTAGAGAATAGAGAATAGTTTTTATTAAAAATCTGTTTAGCTAGGAAAACTACAACATAGTTTTCAAAGAACAAAAATTCATAAATTTGCTTGGTTGTACTTGCGGAAAATTATTTTCTGAACTAAGAAAATTGCACATAACTCTTTTACTTATTCATGTTTGTCAACTGCTAATGCAATAAAATTTGATCTCAAATCCATGTTTTTATAATCTCCAAATCCATGTTTGTCACAAACATGAATAAAAGGGTTAGCACATAATGTTGGTCTTTATGTTTGGACAAGCACCTGAAATTGAAAAAATATTGGGTAAATTGCCATTTTTGTTGATCAAAATTTGAGCAATACAGCATAGCTTTGGAAACCCATTCCATATGGATGCATGCTCACCCAAAAAAAAAAAAACTTTTGCACTAAGTCCATTTACAATAATTAACCCTTGAATCCTCTTTCCTAATTCTAAATACCCAGTTTGATCTCATATACTTGAACTTATCAAGTTTTAAGTTTGTCAATACCCATTCATTAAACTCAGTTTATGGCATTTTCATAGGGACCTAGATGAGTATATTCATGCAGAGGCATTCTATCAAACAATTGGCAGTCAACATGCAACACCGTTAGGTATTTGATTTATATATATATTAAACCAGCATGTTTCACTGATACAAGTTAAGAAAAAGATTTACAAAAGATCGAGACTAAACTGAAGAAGACATTTATTTGAACATGCACTAGAAAAAGGAATTCTTTATACAAAAAACCCTATTTATGCTAAAAAAAAAATTCGTGCACCAGAGCTTTACAATGCTCTGTGCTCTGCTCCCTACAGTGCTCTGTGTTGTAAACCAGAGATGAACTTCCGTCTTTTTTATTAAGTGGACAACAATACATGCTCTGTGTTTTCTCATTTTGAGAACTGAAACCCAAAACTCCAAGAACGACGTCTTGTAGTATTATAAAATAAGGATCGAATAGGAGTTTATGAGAATAAAGAGAAAAATAATGATAAGAAAAATAAGATAGCACACACACAAACGAGACAAGAATTTACGTGGTTCGACTATGCCTATGTTCACGGGGAGAAAACAGAACAATATTTCACTATGGAAATAAAGAAATACAAGGCAAAGTGGCTCACACCCAAAACCCAATTACACCCAAAATCTCTCACTTTCTAACTGATATTACAAACTCACTTTGATGATTTGGATGCTTCAAACTATGGAGGGCAAATGTTATTTATAGCCAAAATGGGACACCAAAATGAGGCTACTTGGTGACCACTCAAAAGACTTGTTGGGCACACATTCTTGGAAGCCAAGAATCTTAATGACATCATGGATGATGCAAGCCTCAAATTGAGTCGTATGTTCAACAAATCTCCAGCTTGACGAAAATTCAAATAAGCCACTATATCTCTGCCAAACAACTTGTCTTCTCCACAAAACAAATTAATTAAGAATTTTAATTAAGTTTGAGTCATCCTCAAACTTAATCCTCGGGCTCTCATTCTTCAACCCATGCATACCTTGTGCAGCCACAAGCATACCTTCAGTATTTGTGTCAAACACTAAATGCTTACTAAAAGCAACCTCAGAAATTCCAAGTTTGACATCTCTTTCAGCAACCTTCTCCAATCGCCCACAAGCCACTGGCTAGTAATGAAAATTCATTTTCTCACCATTGTAGAGAATATAACGTCCTTAACTTTTCCTCGCATCTCTATTGCGATCAACTACTTGTCTCCTACACATCTTAATGGCACTCGAATGGACTATCTCATTGCCACTAAGATGATTGCAAGTCAATATCACACCTGTCCTCATAGGTCTGTCTCCCTGTAAAGACTGTTACAATTTCGGTTGCCATCTGAAAATGGATTTCATTCTCCCACCACGTTGTGTAGTCCTCTCACAACCCTTTTGAGAACTAGAATCGTAACTCTTCTTTTGCCAAGACCTGAATGCAGATTTCTGCGAACTGTAAAAGATCCTGTAGTAGCTCCACCTGTTACTGTATTCCCCTGGAGAAGATATAAAATTTTCACCTTGGTGCCTGGCCTGTAGCACCATAAGAGAATCCATCACGATCATCATTGCTCCACCCTCTGTTACAACCTTGTAACCTTTTGGAGTCTAGCACACTTACTGAAATAAGATTCATCTTCAGATCCGGTACATGTCGCACATCTGACAATGTTCTCACCAACCCATTGTATGTCTTGATCTTGACTGTTCCAATTCCCAAAATTTTGAAATCTTTCCTGTCTGCCGTCAAAATCGAACCACATTTCACCTCTTTATAGGAAGAGAAAGAATCCCTACTGGAACACATATGAACGGAACAACCAGAATCAAGAATCTAACTGTCATTAAATGACATACCTGAACATAAGGTTGTCATGAGAACATAATCGTCACTTTCCGAATCACTCGTTATAGCAGTTGCCACAGAAGCTGCTTCTTGAACCTTCTTTTTGCCATTCCCATTCTTTGCCTTAGTTTGGGACAGTGCTCGATGATGCGCCCTATCTCGTGACAGTAGTAATATTCCATATTTTTATGAGATCTAGATTTGCCCCTACTACCAGAACCCTTTGTCCCACTTTTGCCTTTTACAAATAGACTCTCGGCCTGTTCATCTCCAATATTCCCAGACACCTTTTTCCTCAACTCCTGAAAGTTCAATAAGGATTTAATATCCTCTATACTAATAGTGTCTTTTTCATAGAGTAATGTGGTAACAAAATAGTCATAGGAAGGAGGCAAAAAATACAACAAAATAAGGGCTTGATCCTTGTCATCAATTTTAATATCAGTATTTTTCAAATCCATAATAATAGAATTGAAATTATCAATATACTCCTTAAGAGGCATACCTTCCTGTATACGAAGGGTGTAAAGTCTCTGTTTTAGGTAAAGTCTGTTTTTGTGCACGGACCGTACCGCTGCGCCAAATCTCTAGGCCCGTGACATGTAGTTCTCTAAAAATTTGGACTCTTGTATCTCAGTTTTTCAAAAACAGTTTTCCAAAAACAGATCTACGCAAAGGTAAATTCAGAAAACTGATTTTGTGTGACTCCCAAAATAGAAAACTATTCTGAGAGTTGCAAACCAAGCAATGCCAAAGCTTTTAAGAATTCTCCGTTTGACTGGTTATATGTGAATATTGCAATAAAAAAATGGGAAGTGAGGTCCGCTAACATAATACTCTACTCTAGTTGTACACCACCTGCTTTGCTTTCTACTTTACATAGATATTGTCTATCCAAACTTGCACCCTAGATGCCCTAAATTGGCATGAACTTCTGAGAGGAGATGGTAGCAACTCCATTTTCTGAATAAACTTTATGCCATCAACGTCTATACTTTGAATGTCATATATTTAGACCTCGCCTGTTTAGACGCTTATGACAGTCAAAGTCCAGTTAAAGGAACTCTTGATCATACCATCGATCAACTTATTCAAATGGTACTTGAAGAAGGGATATAATCTTCGCAAATGCATATCAGTTGAATTGAAAAATTAGGCTTAACAAGTAGTATTTTGTTCAATAAATTAGCTTCTTTATAATAAAAATAAAAATTCTCAAAAGTAATTTATTTGCTAAATGGAAGCGCTTTTGCTCAACTCACCGACACTTCAACTGATGCTCATTTTAACACCCCCAACGGCTTATTACACCGCCACTAGTATTTATTTAAAACCCCAGTTACTCAACAAGCTTTATTTGCATACATTAAACAAACACCCCCTTGTAATATACCATGTAAACACATACCAAATTTTTAGAAACAAACACAAATACACACATTAACACTTATAATATGGACTTAAGACACTATTAAAACTATCTAAACATTTACAAAAGGGTAAAGCTCATATCTGAAGCTACAACTGCCACCAAGCACCCTCCCTCCTTGTTTTCCATCGCAGCACCTCGGAAGTTCACTTATTGCACCGTCAAGGCACTTCTTGCAATCAATTTTAGAGAGGTCTTGAGTGCATCGAACCAACCCATACAATTTCTTTGATCCTTCGAGCTCTAGCTTTCCCGCAGCGTATAAAACTGGACTGCCAGAAGCTTTACTAGCTAAGGAGCTTAACAACTTCTTTGTTTTCTGATTAAATGTCTTGGGATCAGCTACCTTGTGTACGCTATACAAATAGGCTTTGTTTGTGTTGTCTATTTTTCCGAAGAAGACCACATTTGAGTACTTGAAGAGGCAATTATCGTACCAAATAATGGCTCCTTTCTTGCGTGGACAACGCTCACGGATCACTTTGGTTGCCTCAGTGACACAGGTTTTACAGTTTGATTTGGAGACATCGCCCCAGCATAGGGCTAGGCCATTGACGCGGTTTTGGCCTTGACCAACCCAGCCAAATCCAAATCCGGTTGGTGGAACTTTGGTGCGTACAAGATTTCGGAGCTCATTCAAGTTGGAATTATAGGGACTATTAGCAGTGTAGGTGTCCTGGCTAAAACAAAAATGGTAAAGAGGGTTTCCACAAAGGACAGTGTGGAGGAGGAGGAAGAAGGAAATCAAAAAGACAGGAGGAGGAAATGACTTGGAGAAATACATGTTGGATGGAAATGGAAAGATGGTTATTGTAGGTGTGTGTTTCTCTGCACGAATGATTTGGTTTATATAGTAAAAATCTCTTAAACATAGTAAAGCTCCAAAATTAATGGGGACTTTTAATGGTGGAAGTGTTGGGATTTATATGCCCTGGCATAGCAAATTCCTATCTGGATTATAGTGACATATATTCCTGACATATCTGAAATATTTATGATTTATATAATTGGTGAATTCAATGTATTATGTTTCGATTCACTATGAAATTGATAGTGTCCATGTAATTACAAGAAATATTTATATATATGTATGTGATGACAATCAATGCATGATATATAAATAGTAATTATAAATTGTTCATAGTCGGTAATTATGGATGGACTCATAATTAATTAAGACTTGAACTGGATCCGCGTTAGGTTGAGATATATTGCGAGAGCCGTCGTATGCAATTACTCCCTATCACCGTCATGGCATTTGACTCTTAAGCATGAGAAAAGTATAGACTCTTTTATTAATTAATAATTACTTTGATTTGTTCGGCGGATTCTTCGGGATCCTTAGACCGACACTTTGGGTAGTTATGTAATTAATAGTTAGAGGGTTATATTTTCAACATTTGCATCCTTGCTACTTGTATTTATTTTGTATTGATTATGGTTGATCACAAAGTAAATTCGAAAGCCTTCGTGTGTTTTTAGACAAAATGATTTATTATATATTTATTTATTTAAATTATTATTTTTGTCAAACAAATGTTTTATTGTGATCGAGCCAGAAATAATCAAAGGTACCAAAATAAATATATTAATTAAGTAGTCGGATTGATGGCTATATTTATCCGATAACTAATTATGCATAGAGGGGTCAAAGTGCAATATTGACTTAGAGGTTATTTCTTATTTAATTGGAGTTCAATTAATTTCTTTTAGTGGAGTAGAAATTAATTTATGAATTAATTGAATTGGGTCCATGGACCGGGCCAATTATTAATTCATTGTAACCAATAAAATAATAGGCCCAATGGATTCTCACTCATAACCCAACTTGATATTGGAATCATATTAGATTTGAGACATATGAATTAGAGATGGAGAAGGATTTGTTGTTTCCTTTTCTTTATTTTTATGTTGCCTATAAATATACATGGTCTATGTATATTTTAGGTGGTGATTTTTATGAGAAGGAAAAAGGAATATTTTTTCTCTCTCTAGAAAATTAGGGTTTATGTTCTCATCTAATGGAGGCTCCCACAAGCCTAGTTTTCCAAGGTAATTCATGGAGGCTTATGAGTGATTCCTAAAGGCAAAATAATTACCAAGAAGATGGAGATCCAAGGAGAAGGCATCTTGCTAAGGGATCTACAATAAGTGAAAACATTCACTTTAGAGGAAAGATTTAAAGGTTTACTCAGACCTTTTGATGTAAGTATTCAATCCATTAATTGAATGATACATCATGTTTTATTTTTGCATAAAACTTGTCTCTATGTAATGAATCAAGATTTATGAATTTAAATCCCTCGAAAAGTTTTTAAAACTTGCACGTTTCCCAACAGGAAGCCCCATCAAGGACGGTTCTAATGTTTACTTGCTGCCCCGAGAGGATATATATGATCATAATCTTGACAAATACGTTATCAATGGAATAGAAAATTAGGCTTAACAAAGTATTCTTTTGTTCAATATATGAACTTCTTTGTAATAAAATAAAAACTCTCAAAAGTTATTTAATTGCTAAAAGGAAGGTTTTTTTTTTTTTTTAAATGTTATTTTTATCAACTCACAGAAACTTCCTTTGATATTCATTTACCATTAACTCCACCCTATTTGATAACTCATGCAGCCTATTCAATGTTTAGAACTTAACACGATGAGCGATTTAAAAAAAAAAAAAAAAAAAAGCACGTGTGGTAAAGATACCATTTAAAACATAATAATTGTTTAAAAGAGGTCAAAAATTTCGTTTGTAGCCTATTGCAAAATATAGTTAGTTTTTATTTTTTATTTTTTAATAGGATACTATGGTGGTCTAATAAAATATGATTTGATCAAGTGTTTATGATTAATTTCTAGAATTTAAATTTTTATTTGTTTAACTTAATTTAACAATTTTGAGACATTCACTTTTAAAATTATGTTAATGAATACTATTTAAATAATATTCATTAATTAAGTTTGAATTAATATTTTCTATAATCAATTTTGACATTAATTAATATCCATTGTGAAATTTATTGCTTTAGCCATGCTTCTCTATATTATATATATATACACACACACATATAATCTCTTTTATTATAAGTAGGTGATCTTAATGGCAAAAAGGTGATACGTGCAGTAATCAGAATTCAACTTTTATATTTAACAAACAATCTTAATTAATTCTGCATTTAAAATTAGTATCAAACATGTTTTTAGATTAGTACACTTAAACTCAACATTTAAAATTTTAATATTTTCCGTACTTAATTTTTAGTTTTATCAAACATCACCAAATACTAATTTAAGTTTTACAAACCATTCAAATATTTAGTCACTCTCTTGTATGTATATTACATATACCAAATTTATAAAAACAAACGTAAACACACTTTAACATTAACAATGTGGAATTGACACTAGCTTCTATGAGTTATTCTCAACATTAACAAAAGGGTAAAGCTCATATCTGAAGTTACAACTGCCACCAATCACCCTCCCTCCTCGTTTTCCATCACAACATTTAGGCAGTTCACTTATTGCACCATCAAGGCACTTCTTACAATCAGTTTGAGAGAGATCTCTAGTGCACTGAACCAACCCATACAATTTCTTTGATCCTTTAAGCTCTTGCTCTCCTGTGGCAAATAAAACTGGACTACCATAAGCTTTACTAGCTAAGAGGCTTAGCAACCTCTTTGTTTTCTCATTAAATGGCTTGGGATCATCTACCTCCTCTACATTGTACAAATAGACCTTAAAACCGTTGTCGATATCTCCAAAGAACTCCACATTTGAGTACTTAAACATACAATTATCGTACCAAATAATGGCTCCTTTGTTGCGTGGACAGTGCTCGCGGATCACTTTGGTTGCATTGGTGACACAAGTTTTACAATCTGATTTGGAGACATCTCCCCGGCACAGGGCTAGGCCATTGACACGGTCTTGGCCTTTCCCGGTTGAGCCAAATCCGAATCCGGTTGGTGGAACTTTGGTGTGTAGGAGATTTATCAGGCCATTCAAGTTAGAACCATAAGAACTTTTGTCAGTGTAGTTGTCCTTGGTAGAACAAAAATGGTAAAGAGGGTCTGCACAATGGACAGTGTGGAGGAGGAGAAAGAAGGAAATTAAACAGAGAAGAGAAAATGGCTTAGAGAAATACATGATATTGGATGAGTATGAAAAATGGTTATTGCAGGTGTGTTTCTGTCCAGGAGAATTCATTTATATGGGAAAAATCTCTTAAACATGGCCAATATTGAATGGAAATGAGAGATGGTTGTTGTAGGTGTGTCTCTCTTCGGGAATGAATTCATTTATGTGGCAAAAATTTAAGCCTGGCCGAAATTGTCTCATTAGCATTGGCCAAGTATAGAATATAAAATGCTGACTTTAATTTCTTAGTGGAAGCCTCGTCACCCTCCTTATCAGTACAATTAAATAGTGGTCAATTCTATAACATTGTCACATTGCTGGAGAGAACGGCAAATTCTACATATATTGTTATATTATGTTTGTATTGAAAGAGCACTGCTATTGCGAGAGTGCTCTCACAATAAGTTTAAAAAATTCGTGCTTATAAATTACACAATTCTTATTTTTAAGGATTTGGAAGAATTAATTAAGAAAGAATCATTCGCAATTAAGGAAACAAATCAAGTTTTTTTTCTCTCTCTCCACATTCTCTCTTTCTTTCTCTTGGTTAATACCCTCAACCAATCTGTCTCTTTCACTCTCTTAGGCAACTCTCAGAGAATCTGTCTCTTTCTCTCTTATAGTTAACCTTTTATCTTTCGATCAAAGAGTCTCTCAATCCTTTCTGGTTGCTGACATACTAGCTTCTTAAGTTAGACTTCATCTATCATTCTATTTTTATTTATTTATTTATTTTTTATTTTTTTTTTGTTCGCATGTTTGAGTTTTGAATAACCTCATCACAAAAATTTTAGGAGTTGTTTAATTATATTTTGATATATATATATTCATGAAAAGAAAAAAACACGTAAAATTTTTGTGATAAGGTTATTCCAAAGGCCAAAAACGCGAACGAATGAAATAGTGTCACGAACATAATAGATGAAGTCTAACTTATGAGAACCTAGTATGTCAGCAGCGAGGGATGGAATGCAGGTAGAGAAACTCTTTGATTGAAAGGCAAAAAGTTAACCATAAGAGAGGGAGACAGATTCTTTGAGGATAACCAAGAGAGATAAAGAGACAGATTGGTTGATGGTCTTAACAAATAGAGAGAAAGAGAGCACGTGGAGAGAAGAGAAAGAAAAAAGCTTGATTTGTTTCCTTAATTGTGAATGATTATTTCTTAATTAATTCTCTCCCAAATTCCCAAAAATAGGAATTGGTAATGGTGAGCTTTTTAGACTTTTGCGAGAGTGCTCTTGCAATAACACTACTCGTATTAAAATATATATTATATATATTATACATATATGTTATATTCCTTTTCCCTTATTTCCTCCTTGATTTATTACTTGATTTATTCTTTTGTCTGCAACTTTATTCCCTATATATTGTGTATTAATATAATGTAAACACATCAAGAAATACAAGCAATAAGAAAAATGTAGCCTAAGTGACTCTTGATTCATGGATGTAGGCCTTAGTGCCGAACCATTTATATGCCATGTTCTTAATCTTTCTCTATTTTATCCTCCTATTTTCCATCTTATATTTCCGTATCATAAATTTAATATGGTATCAGAGCAACGATCCTAGATCGTTTGCACCAAAGTTTGCTTTGTCTTCTCTGCTCTGCCATTTTTTTTTTTTTTTCCTTTTCCTTTACTGATTACAAAGAGCAGTGAAGGAGAAGACCATGATCTGATCCCTTTCTGGTTCAGATCTCTCTTTGTTTTCTTTTTTTGATCAACTACGAGCTTCCAAGCGACGTCCTGCACCGTCATGCGTCGACGCTCCTACGAAGTTGATGTGACTCGTGCATCACTGCCCAAGGATCTGACTCGCGTTACACAGCCCACACGCTCCTACGAGTAGATCTCACTCGTGCTACATGCACCCATGCGCTCTTCCTTCACCGACGGTAGTCAACCCTTCGAAGCGGTGACTCACCATCGTTTCAGTTTCTGGTCAGAGAGAGGCTATTTGTGTTCTAGCCGTTATGAGGTGTGTTATATCCGGCCAAGTCCTTCGGTGCCACTCTTAACGTTTTTAAACACTTCGTTGCCGTCGTTACTATGCTCTGTTTGACGAATATCCGGTGTCGTCTCCGAATTTGCCTTTGGTTGCAAAGGCTTTTTTTGCTTTACTTACAGTCGTCGTCTGCGACACTTCTTATGCTGGTGACCTCATTCTTCCACCATAACGACTATTTTTTCCTTCCTTGGCTGGTTTCTACCACTTAAAAAATTTTGGGGCAGTGATTGCCTTATTTAACTAGGTTTGTTTTTGGTGGGGTTTCTTTTTGAGTTTGTGATTTGTTAAAAAAATAAAAATAAAAATAAAAAAGTGGAAAAGAGGAGTGATGGTTGTCTGATGAAAAAAAAAAAGAATTTTTGGATAGTCTGGAAAAATGGGTGATGGGCCAAAGTTATCGGCTAAGCATACTTTATACAGTATTATATTTCATATATGCATGTTTGTCTAAGCATGTGTGCCGCAGATCAACGTTACAAGACCTAATGCCTACGATGTTCATATGGCTCAATGTCTCTCATGCTCACACAACCCAAGAGAATATTGCACGCCTCTCCCACTCTTGATTTTAAAGAAAAGAAAATATTGTTATCATATTTTATTATTCAAACTCTCATTTTGTACCAAGCAGCAACCTATTTCGATATTGAGGGGGAGCATGTCCTGTTCTCCCTGCTATGTTAATGCCGGCATTACTGGCCAGATGTTTCTCGGCGTTGCCAGCACAGTTTATTCACCAGCGTTTCTAGCTCTGGTTCCATCGGAGTTTTCTGGCCTGTTGCTGATTACTGGCAGTTTACTGGCTTAGTTCCGGCTTTTTACCAGCTTTATTTCAGATCTTTTTCATTTCTCGGATGGATCACCGGGATGTCTTCCAGTGTTGTTCCGGCCCATTTCTTGGCTTTGTTCCAGCCATTTCTCGGCATTGTTCCGGCCTTTCGAATGCTTTTCGCTCCACCACCATTTTCAAGATTTCATCTCCAGCTCAAGTTGGCTTTGAGAAACCCATCTTGAGTCTGCAGAGAATATTAAAATATATATTACATATATGTATAATATATTATTATACATATATGTTATTTTCCTTTTCCCTTCTTTCTTTCTTGATTTACTCCTTAATTTATTCCTTGATTTATTCCTTTTGTCTGCAATTTTATTCCCTATATATTGTGTATCAATACAATGTAAACACATCAAGAAATACAAGTAATAAGATAAATGTACCCTCAGTAGCTCTTGATCCATGAATATATACCTTAGTGCCGAACCATGTATATGCTGTGTTCTTAATTTTTCTCTATTTCATATTCTTATTTTACATCTTATATTTTTGACATCATAAATTTATAGTTTGGGAGTACTTAATTGGTATTTTGGATTTAGAATTGGAGAAAGTTTAGTTCAAAATTGGACTATATTTTCTTCAATCTCTAATCCAATATGCTGATTTGGTGCTGCTAAACATAACATTAATATATTTTAGGCGAAGCATTTGTTTCTTTAAATTTCATATATTAAAAGAAGTCATAATTAATGACTATGTATTTTACTCCTTGTATCATTGAGGTAGAATGCTACAATTTATTTCGTCTGAAATACTCCATTGTTGAACATATGGCTCAATTTGAGGCTTGCATTACCCATGATGTCATCAAGATTCTTGGCCTCCAAGAATGTGTGCCCAACAAGTCTTTTGAGTCTTGGCCTCCAAGAATGTGTGCCCAACAAGTCTTTTGAGTGGTCACCAAGTAGCCTCATTTTGGTGTCCCATTTTGGCTATATATAGCCTTTGCCCTGTGATGTTTCCAATTTTCAGCATTTTCCTTTTTTTCTAGAATTCTGTTGATGCGAGGGTATTTTCGTCATTTCACGTTTTGCGCGCCGGACGCCGTGGGGTGTGCCGGGTGTGTCGATAAGTTGTTGGGGCATCTCATTGAGCTCGGCACTCTTTGAAATGCAAGGTTGTCATTTTTCCATTTTTTCCATTTTTTTTGGGCTGGACGGTCCCGTGTGGTACCCGCTACCGGTATTGTTGTGCACTGGGATTATGGTTGGGTCCGTTTACATTTTATGTATTTTATTTTATGTGACTTATGGGTCCGTTTACATTTTATGTATTTGTGTGGTGTAAATTAAAAACAAAAGAAAATGAGAAAAGAAAAGAAAAGTGGCGGGACCCGCCACTTACTCTTATGTAATGGTCTAGAGACCATTTTTAGCCTCAAATCTCTCTCACTCCCGTAGTTCTCTTTTTCCCTCTTTTCTTCTTGATTTTTCTTTTTCTTTTGAGTTCTAAACTTCAAATCAAGATTTCTCTCTCATTTCTTGGAGTTTTTAGAAGCCGTTTATGGCAAATCGAAGCCCACGATGAGGCCTTCGAATCTATACCAGCAATTTCAGTTTTGATGCTCCCTAGAAATTCCGAAAATCTTGACCCATTTTGAGAGTTTTGCACAATTTTGATGTAGGGGTTCCAAATCCTTATTTTTCTTGTTCCTTTGTGAATTATATCTCATAAATTATTGCAAAGCATGTTTGTTTTTGAATTAATTGTCTTGAAGATGATGTAAATGTTATATGTGAAGTTTATGATCATATGTGCTATTTGGATTGTAAAAAAAAAAAACATATTTATGTGTTAATCTTTTTATTTAATTGTTGATCTTATATGCCTATTATGTTATAAAACTTGCTAAAGTTGGTATGTGATGACATGTGAACTCTTCCTAGAATACTTGTAGAAAATGTTCAATTGTGTAGTATAAAATTCCTTATTTCCATGGCATTGTGAACATGAGACATACATGCATACTATGGGGCATGAAAAAGGAAAAAGTGTTTTGGAATGAAAAAGGGGAATTTTGGGGAAGAAGTTTCAATTATAGTGTTTTATGAAAACCCGGTCGCCGTGGAGTCACCAAAGGGCCGGTAGGTTAATGTAACCTAGAGGGAACTAGGGAGATTGCCCTAGCATGGTTGAGCTATCTGGGCCCCAAATGACGCTGCGGAGGTACCAACGGTTAGGGACAGTAGCTAATCCTTCTCTCGGCGCTGAGGAGGTACCAAAGGGGTTTACATTAACGGTTTGAAAAGTGATGGATTTGAATGTTGAAAATGGGAAGCAACATCGGCATGCATTGCATTACATTGCATCGTATTGTTTATGTTGAGATTGGATATGATGTTGTATTTTCCCGACATGGCATGATCCTGCTTCCCATTGTCCTATTCATTGTTTGGATTCACGAGGTCACAAGAGGTGTGTCTTAGGTGCCACCTACTAAGAACTTTGCTCACCCCATTATATTTAACATTTTTCAGGACATGACAAGGAATTAGCGGATGATAATCCACCACAGACTTAAGAGAACTTGGAGGCATTTTGAGAGCATTTTGTAAAGACTTGAACTTATTTTGTGCAGTACATGATATGCAATGTACCAATTTTATTTGGCATGTAAATTGTGTTATAACTTGAAGCTTAAAATTATCTTGATGTAAATTAAGACAATGGCAAAAACTATGTACAAACTCCATGTAATTGAATCAAATGATGTTGTAATAGGATCAAGGATTGGTATATTTGTCCATGATTATAGTATGTTACATTTTTTGAATGTTTGGGGACAAGTTTAGATCATTTTAAAGTCCCCATTTCAGTTCCTCCTTCATCTTCCAAGTGCAGCATTTCAGTTTCAGGAACAGGGTTCAAAGAAGCCATTTCGGTCGACCGAAATGGCACATCAGTCGACCGAACCAATTGCATGCTCTCGGGATCTTAGGTTTCGGCCGACCGAAACAGCACTTCGGTTGACTGAAGTAAGGGAGCTCATTTCAGCCGACCGAAGCTCCACTTCGGTCAACCGAAATGAAGCTGTTTGGCCATTCTTCATCCATTCTTCTGGTATCTATCATGTTGATCATTGAAATGTGTTTTGAGACTTCCTAAAGACACAGTTCAAGTGCAATGGTGATGTTTTGACCCTAGAAATGTTGAGTTGGACGTAGGTGACCTCGGGTTCGAGTAAGGACCCGGTTAATGGTTTGGACCCCCAGGTTCGGGTCGTTACATGCCCTCCATAGTTTGAAGCATCCAAGAGTAAGACAATATTCGGATCAAGAGAGTATATTGGTTTTGTGTGTGTGAGAAAATCCTTTTGTGTGTGCAATCTTCAAGTGACATTTGAAGCTTGTCTTTGGGTGGGTTTTTCCTCTTTGTGTAAACCATATACTATTTGGGGTATTTCTTGAGCGTTCGAGTGAGTCTTCTTTGTTAGTAAGTGAGTGGTGTGAGAAGAGAGATTATTGTGAGTAAGAACCAAAACGTTCTTCAGTTTGTAATCTTCTTCTTTATAATGATACGAATCATCATCGCCCGTGGACGTAACCCTATTTGTGAAGATGAACTACGTATAAATCCTTATCTCGTTTGTATGTGCGCTATTTTATTTTTTTGTCATTATTTTCTCTTATTCTCATAAACTCCTATTCGATCATTTTTCATAACATCCATTAAGGTGCAGACCGCCTTAAATTGAGCGACCTAATCCTTGTCTCATCCCGTCTAAACTTTACAAGATAAAAATAGTTCATTTTCAATTCTTCTAAGAGTAATGATAGAGAACCTGAAATAAAATACGCGAAATATCCCCGAATCCTATGTGGCTATGCCATGTCAATTTCTCATACCCTACGCAACTCTATCGTCTCTCTCCTCTTTTGCCGGCATGACCCAACACTTAAAATTCCGACAGTTTCTCTCTCTAAAACCTCTCTTTTTCTCTCTACCCTCCTCCCCTAATCTTATCTGCCTATGCCACATCAGACTCAAACTACCGTTTTATTTAGAGAAAAAAAATTTCAATTGAGATCAGTACAAATCAAATTCCACCTAATGTCTTCTTCTCATCAATTCAATCCAAACTCCTCCCAATTTCTTTTTCTCTTCGTCTCATCAGTACAATCCAAACTTTACCCAGATAATTCACTTTTTTTTACCACCGATGCTAATTAACAGAGTTCGAATTCTCTGTCTAATCCTTACCGGCATCGCCGGCTTCCTTCTCTCCGGCGGACCTTTACTAACAGAAAGTGAATATGAATCTCCTTGATACGAAACTGACAAACTCTTCGTTGTAGTGCTCAATAGCTTGTCGCTTCTGAAAACTTGCCGGCTTTGTACTACGTATTAGGCTGAAACGTGATTAGCCACCCCGAAGAAGACGAATTGGAAGACATGGCCGTGGATAAAGTTGTTGAAGTTGAAGAAGCAGAAAACATGTACATAGAGGAGAGTTCTATCGACTTAGGTCTCTAATTGCCAGCGATACCATTGTCGACCTTAGAAGGTAATAGAGGAGACCTTCTAGGGTTTGTACCAGTATCGGAGATCCTAAGGTTCAGTCAAACACACAGTACCCACCATTATAGTTCACAACATTCACATATTCGAAGACTCTAATTTTTGCCCAAAACCAAAATCCAAGATTGTTTTTGTCAGATTTAGAGAGATAAAGAGGAAGAAAAATTATGCTAGTCAAGTATGGATGTGGTGAGGGAGTGGAGGAGGGTAGAGAGAAAAAGAGAGGTTTTAGAGAGAGAAACTGCCAGAATTTTAAGTGTTGGGTCATGCTGGCGAAAGAGGAGAGAGACAGAGGAGTTGCTACGGAGGGTACGAGAAACTAACGTGGCATAGTCACGTAAGATTTGGAAATATTTCGCGTATTTTATTTCGAGTTCTCTATCATTATTCTTCTTCTAATTGTAAATAAGGAAACAGACTCTCCTCCATGCGTACATCATCTAATCCTTTCAAACTCTGTAATGACGGAAGTTGCATGCATTGACTTTGCCGTTTATTGTACTTGTGCTTGGATCAATACCGAATGCCTCGCCAAAATTGGTCGACTTATGAGCAACTTGGATGAATTATCAACCCATGAATATTCTGTTTTTGACATTGTTGTAGTGTCATTCTAATAGAAAGCGCGCGGATAGTCTACTTTCAGTGCAGACGGTGCAATCAACTTGAGCAGGGATGTCAAACAAAGCAGCTGGTTGACCCTAGAATGAGCTCAATAAATGAACTGACCCTTGAACCTTTTTATTGAATTAAGGCTAATTGGTAGGCCTGAGTTCAGATCATGATCACCTCATTACCTTACCGTACATGTTATCAAAACAATTATTGGAAATCAAGATGGTGCATGTATTCACAGATCCTGAGTGGAGTAGGAGTAATCTTCATTTTGACTGATCTAGCATATATGTATAGATATAAGCATGTATGTGTAACTATTAATTACTAATATAGATGCATATATTATGTATACAAGCATGTATCTAAACTATTTTGCTTAATCTTTGCCAATTGATGTAGTTGTTTGGACTGTCGTCTTTACCTGTTATATATTGGTTTTTTTTTAGTTAAAGACCTGTTATTTATTGTTATTAAGTGCTCATTTACAAAAATACGTATGTTGTTGTCAATATCTAGCTAGTGTCAAAAATTGACATGTATGTATTTTCCACACTTCCGGTTTGTCCGACATAGTAACTTTGACTTACTTCCTCATTGCACCTTCTAGATTTAAGTTGAAAAATAATTTTAGTTGAAAATTTGCTTCCAGCCTCATTCCTCACCTCGGCTAGAATTGGATCAAGCATCCAACCAAAATTGTGTCGACATATCAGTTTGGACTTCATGCATGGTCTAAAGCGACTAATAAGTTTCCGCAATCACTTCATGGTATAAAGGGACAAATAAGTTTCGATGATCAATTGACGGATTGAAATCGTTAACTATTCGCAGTTTATATAATTAATGTGACGTGTCACATTATTTAGGGAGAGATTTGATAATATTTATATATGTGAACACCTCCTAATTATGTATATACATTTTAAAAATGATGTGCACGAAATGTGTGCAAAACAGACAATATCTACGAGGTTAGACGGGGGTTAGACAGATTAATGTATGTAGAAGATTTGCTTCATTTTTTGGAATTTCCAAATAGCTATGAAAGTAAACCCTCTTAGTGTTGTTAATCATCCAACATTCCAACTAGTTCAATAAAGTTTTTTTTTTTTTTTAGTTAAAGAACTAGTTCAATAAAGTTGTGATTTCATTGCATATGATTCCAGAATAATTATCATTAACTATAGAAACATGCCATAGCTTTAAAGATAGGAATAACTTTAAGTTATATTATGCATGTCTTCATTAGATAGGGTTTAATTCCATAATATATATAGTTAATTAGTTGGGTTCTTTTTGGACACAAGTGCATTGCGCTTCCTCCCATTAAACAAGTGGATGACTCGGCATGTAAAATGAATCTGCACTACTTCAATTACCATGTGGGGAATTTTGCTTCGTTTTCGATTTGGAATGTGATATTTGAGAACACAGAAAATCGTCCTACTTTAGAGAGAGATGAATAGTAAAATTTTTAGTCAGATTTTTACTGTGAACATTGGTTTAACGCCGAATCACATAAATTATTATGGTGTAGATGTGTTTCTTGATTACATTGTTGATTCGGGAAATTTGTCGTAAGATACCTACTGGTGCATTTATTCAACAAATTTAATTGAAGGTTCGCCAAAACTTGCAACAAAAACAAAGAGGGTTTACATGATATATAATCCATAAATTGTCCCAAAATTGAGATACATAAATGTGTTCCTACATCACTTATTCATCTATAGTATTTCTGAACCCCAACCTTATAGGACTCTTAATATATAATTTCCTAGATATATGAATGCTTCAAGCATTGACAAAGGGATAAATCTCATACCGAAAGTTACAACTCCCACTAACAACCCTCCCTCCTTCCTTCCCATCACAACAACTTGGAAGTTCACTTATTGCACTATCAAGACACTTCTTACAATCAGTGCTTGAAAGATCCCTTGTGCACTGAACCAACCCATATAGTTTCTTGAAATCTCCGAGCTCTGACTCTCCGGTGGCATACAATTTTGGAGTAACATAAGCTTTCTCTGATAGCTGGCTCAACAATTTCTTTGTTTTTTGGTTAAATGACTCCGGATCGCTTACCTTATTCAAGTTCCACATGTAGAACCTGTTTTGATTGTCAATTTTGCCAAAGAAATTGGCGTTTGAGTATTTTAAAAGACAGTAATCGTACCATATGATAGCTCCTTTGTTGTATGGGCAGCGTTTGCGAATTTCGCTACCTGCCTCTGTAACACAAGATTTGCAGTCCGTGTTTGAAACATCGCCGCGACAAAGGGCAAGGCCGTTGGCCTTGTATTGGTATTGCCCAACAGAACCAACACCAAAACCAGTAGGAGGTGCTTTGAAATAGAGATCACCCAAGAGCTTGTTCAAGTTTGTTTTATAAGGACTATTAGTGGTAAAATTTTCGGAACTTGAACAAAAATGGAAGAGAGGGTCAGCTCCAAAGACAGTTTGGAGAAGGAAAGCAAAGGTTAGAACATACAAAGAGGAGGTCATGAATGTTTTTGAGGATGACATGTTTGGAAGGGTATGCAAGAGTTGATATGGTTTTCTATCCTTGCTCAGTGGCAGCATTTGTAGGCATTGGGGGGAGATAGAGAGAGAGAGAGAGAATGAGAGAGGAGGTGGGGTGATTGACTTTGTCCCTTTTGGAGGTTTTTATTTTTATTTTTAATCTTTTGCAAGCCAATTGAAGTTTTCAACTTTAGGCTGTATATAATATTAACATGTCTTTCTTGAAAAGTTCATTAATGGGTAAGGTGGAGGCGCACTTGATCAACCCTCACATGTGAGTGGAAGGGAGAATAATTTTATTTTTATTTTTATTTTTTTAAAAGGGTTTTGAATTGTAAGAGAAGAACACATTTTTTTTTACCAATGGACATTGGAGTCTAACTTAAATGATATAAGCTCTTTCTTTTAAAGGTCATGTTAAGTATTCAAGTGTGATAGACATAAAATATAATATGTGAGGATTTGCAGAAGTCATGTACCAGAGTAATAATAATAATTTTAGACAGGTACCGAAAAGAATTGGACAGTTCCAAACTTTGAATGTTCTTAAACATTGTCAAAAAAAATTCCAATTTTCCACTGATTCGATTATTAGTTTTCAACTCCTTAATTGATTTTGAAAATTATTATTATTATTTTCTTTTATAGATCGAAGTGCCAATGCTCATGATATTTGCAACTACTTGATATACATAATTGAGTTACCGCTATTTAATAATGATAATATGATCTTCACCACATAATGCATGCACTATATATCACATACTGAAACTATATGGCATTGCTCTATTTCCATTTATAAATTGATTTACTTTTTGAGCTTTGAATAAGCTAGGAGATGACAGAGAATTGTGAAGAATTTAAATACTCCTAATTACAGTTACATCCTTTCAAAACGGGCAATAAGGGTAAGTGTAAATATCTGAATTCAAATTTCAATGTCAATCTTAAAAATTAATTAAAATTGAAGTACATGTTAAAAAAAAAAAAAAAAAAAAAAGCTTAAGCGCAAAAAATTTTCTCGCTATATAAAAAATGCTTAAAAAACACCCTTATTAGAAAAAAGTGCATATAACTCCGTGTATTATTTATCTTTTGAGCAAATTACCTTTTGTTTAACAATAATGCTCCTATCAATTTTGTATATATTTAAAAAAGTTAATGGGTTTGTTTGGATGTACTTGAAGACCTATTCATGGAAATCTTTCTTCTTAATTTTTTTTTTTTTTTCTCTCTCTAAAATATCTCTATGTTGCGTTTAGCAATCTTACTAAGGAGACATCATTTTTTCTTTTTCTCTTTTTCTATATTTCATTTGGTTTGTCAAGTGAGATTCTAGAATTTGTACATTATTTTTAATTTTTAAAACTTCTTAGAATATTATTTATTTCAATATATATATAGAAACATAATCTTTCTTGCAAATATTCTTTTCTAATTCTAAAATTTCTAAATATTTTCCTTCCATTCCTAGAACTATCCTTCTATAAGAAAATATAATATCTCTCTCTAATTTTTCTTTTTTACTCTCTAAAAACAAAGCACCAGGAATCAACAAGTCCCAAGGAATTTCATAGTATCAACAGAGAGCACAACTCGAGATGTTGCTTGACCCACTCCAAAAAATCAGCAATCCTATTCCAATCTCTTCCAAAAGATCAAGAGAAAAATTAAGAACGAGTTACAAATTTTCAGTATAAATAGATAGAAATCATAAAAATTAAAATGGATACATGAAAAATAGAGAGAAAATTAGATTTAAAAAAATTACTTTTTGTATTCAGATGAGGCCATGTCAAAATAATATTAGGAAGTTAAGAAGTTTGGATCAATTTCCATGAATATTTTCATTGTGTGGATTTGTTTATTTTTTATCTGTTATTGTCTTAATCTTTTATAAATAGTTGGGTTTATTTATGGCTAGAATAAAAGATAAGGCTAGTGAAAGCCTGACATTCGAGGTATCTGCATATATATATATATATATATATATATATATATATATATATATAATTATGTAGAGTATTTTTATGTTATGGTTGGCAGAAAAGGAAAATCATTAAATCATATATGAATTTAAGGACAATTTTGACATTTTGCCTTTTGCTTCTTCTTTTTTTCTTTTTTTGTTAATGATAAAGTATGGTTAATTTAGTAATTTTATTGCCAAAATTATGATTTGTCCTTATTTACATAAATTGAAAAAGTTGAGAAATTATTCGAACAATAGAAAGATAATTGCCCATTTTGTATATTACGATGGATTTATTTTTGCACTTAATTTTAAAAATAAATAATAATAAAAAATAATATTCAAAGTGTGTCAAGCCTAATAGTCCAAATCACTTGTAACATTCATTTGCATTAAAGTATGTTCTTAGTATAACTCACTTTAATACATTTGATGATACCAATTAATGAGGTATATATCGACTTGACAAATACATATATGTAAATGCCGGTAAACATGCATGTTACAAGTGCTTTGAACTATTAGCAATTAGGGCTACATTTCTAGTTAAAGATTATTCCATACCACTGTTAATTCTCGAAGGTTGAGACATCATGAATTATATTCCATGAAGTGTAAAATGTTGAACACTAGTCGGAAGTATCGACAGTGATAGTAGGTAATTATGCACATGCATCTCCATATATTGAGGCCATTATAAATTTATAATCACCCATTTTGACTTGTTCTCCACTTTTAGATTAAAATACATATAAACTTTTCCTTTTACAACTATCTCTTATTTTATATCATTATATTAGTTTGGATGGTTTGACCCACTGATAAATTACCGAAAAAATATGTCAAGCTTTAGACCGTCTCTCATAGGCAGCTGCTAAAGTACGATTCTAGGAACAATTAACTAGCTTGGTCAGAGCACACCCGCAAATGAGCCTTTTATTGCAATTCCCCCCATCCCAACCACAACCAACGCCAAGAGTATTTGTGTCTAGGAATTGTGTCGTAGTTGTGTTTAACACCATGTCTAAAATTGAATCCAATATAAATACATACTTGAGAAGTATGAAATTTTTACGAATGTGCCATATTTGCGTTCAACATCGTGTTGATGGACTTCCTAACTATTTGTTAGGTTAAACAATGTATATTTGAATTATATTCAAGTTGAATATATCGTTTAAAAGGTGAGTTGTTTGTGAATTGGACATGAACAACTTAATTGGTTGAATTATGAACCCATGAATGTTCTAATTTTAACATGTATTGTTGCACTGTAAATCTTGAAGATGGCGGGATAGTTTACTTTGAGTGGAGATAGGTGCAATCAACTTAATCGAGTAGGGATGTCAAAGAAAGCAACTGGTTGACCTTTGAATGAGCTCAATAAATGAACCTTGTTATTAAGGCTAATCAATAAGCCTGTGCTCAGACAATGATCACCTCACTACCTTACTATATACACGCGCATGCTATCCATACAAAAATTGGACATTAAGATGTGAGTGGAGTATGAGCAATATAAATTTTGACTGAGCTGAACTATTTACTACATATATATATATATATATAATTGTACTATATATATATAATTGTAATATAAATTTTGACTGAGCTGAACTATTTACTACATATATATATATATATATATATAATTGTACTATATATATATAATTGTAATTATATATATATATATAATTGTAATTTTGTATGCATGTATATATATATATATATATATAGCTATTTGCTTGATCTTAATTTGCCAATTGATATAGTTTTTGGACTGTCATCTTTTGTATATAATATTGTTACGAAGTGCTCATTTACAAAAATAGGTATGGTGGTGTCAAAATTTAATGTCAAAAATTGACAAGTATATATTTTTCGAGTGCTCCGACACAGTGACTTTGACCTAACTTTATCATTGCACCTTCTAGAGTTAAACTGAAAATTTGCTTCCAGCGTCAATTCTCACTAAGATTAGAATTTCTGATGGTCTAAAGGAATAATTAACTTTCCACAATCAATTCTATATGAGTACTAAATTGTCATTAGGACTACTAGCTGTCTATATTGTCATCGAATCAAATCATTTATACTACTTCTTTAGCTCTCATTAGTAACACCGGGCCTACAGAAAATGTAGTCGACAAGTAATGTCCTTGCGTGAATGGAGAAATTATTAAATAATACTTAGCCACAAGTACTTGGTAGTCTAGTTTACCAAAAAAAAAAATGAGTACTGGGTAGTCTATTTTACGTAAATCTGTAAGAATAATAACATATTACAAAAAAATCTATATATTGGAGTACTAAATCTAAATGGTTGATAATCTAATAATTTCTGCTAAATATGGTGGCTAGACATATCAACGGAGGTCAATCTTCCAAGTTCTTAGTGATGAGTTGCTCCAAAATATCGCTTCTAAATATCCACCTCCCCCAATTCACAGCCACGCTCTTCCATTTAAGCAGCACCCTTTTTTCACTCATTTGTACATTTGTGATATTGTTTTACGCAAGTTCTTTGATAAACAACATGCAATCAAATTAGCCCGACTCAGTTTTGCTAATTTCACTGTAAACCGAACAAAATCCTGGTAAAGATATTGACCAAGTAGGTTGCAAATTGCCTCAATATTAAGATGGAAATTTCAGTTTGGTTACTTTGTAATGTAGCAGATTTGCTTCGTTTTCTGGGATTTTCAATAGTTATGAATGCAAACTCTCTTTGGGCATGTTTAGATGTATCAAATTAGAATTTTGTAATTGGAATTGCTGAAATTTGAGAAAATTTTGGTTTTTTTTTTTTTTTTTTCTCAAATTTCACCGATTTTAATTTCAATTCTAAAACTCCAATTCCATGCAACCAAAAACACTCTTAGTATTATTAATCATCCAACTAGTTCATCAATAAAGTTGTGGTTTCATTTCATAGCATTCCAGACAGCCTCATTAATTTTTATTATACTTAAGTATATATATAATAAAAAATTATATAGTGCCCCATCTGAAACTATCTTTTTAAAATAAAATAAAATAAAATAAGAGATAAAAAATTCTCTAAATTTATCTTTGTTTTCATTCCTACTCTACTTCTTCAATAATTTTTTTTTTTTTTTTTTTTTTCTTTTTTCTTCTTCTTTGTTTCCCTTTTTTCTTCACTCGTTTTTGTTATTGTAATTGAACAACTATAATGAGAATTTTCTTTAAAAAATCATACAAAGTAAGTACCACTTAAAATTTAATTCAAACATTGTACAACAAATTAGTTCCCAAAAATGTTTTTGTTTTGAAATAAGTCACAAAAATATATATATATATATATATATATATATATATATATATATATATTACTGTTTCTGCTTCATTTGATATAGAAAATGCAAAATAGAACTTGTTGTCAAAAGTTTGCTTGTTTTGTAACTCTAAAAACAATTTTATATTTTTAGAGAGCTAAAAATCAAAAAATTGTTTAAAAACTCTGCTTGGTTTGACCTTCTAAAAACTCGTTATAAAAACCATATTTTCAGAAAATAAAACCAAATAGAGTTTCTGTCACCAAACAAGTGGATGACTCGCTAAGCAAAATGAATGTGGAGTTGTTCGAATTCTGTACGAATGTGACCCAATTTTGATGGAAAAAGGTTTGATCCGCTTAAGGTTTGGAATGTGGTACGAGAGAATACTGAAAGCCACAAGTTATTGTGAAAATTATAGTCGACTCTTCATCATAGATTGTAAGTTGTAACACCTAATTACATAAATCTTTGTATTCTTTGTATTGTCCATGATTACTACTCTTATCGTGCTTTTTTTATTACGTCGCGGTAACAATGAGTGTGCTCCATCAGTCTGCACTACAATTGCCAAACAGGTGCATTTTATTCTACAAATTTAAGAGAAGGTGGCCAAAACATGCAACAAAAAAACAAAACACATGATATACAATCCACTGTCACAAAAGTGAGATACATAATTGTGTTCCTATATCACTTATTCATCTATAGTGGAGTATTATTTCTGAGTCCCCAACCCTAGCTAGAGAACTCTTAATATATAATTTCCTAGTTATATGAATGCTTCAAGCATTGACAAAGGGATAAATCTCATACCTAAAGTTACAACTCCCACCAACAACTCTCCCTCCTTCCTTCCCATCACAACAACTTGGAAGTTCACTTATTGCACCATCAAGACACTTCTTACAATCAGTGCTTGAAAGATCCCTTGTGCACTGAACCAACCCATATAGTTTCTTAGATTCTCCGAGCTCCGACTCTCCAGTGGCATACAATTTTGGAGTAAAATAAGCTCTCTCTGATAGCTGGCTCAACAACTTCTTTGTTTTTTGGTTAAATGACTCCGGATCGCTTACCTTATTCACGTTATAGAGATAGAACTTGTTCTGATTGTCAATTTTGCCAAAGAAGTCGGTGTTTGAGTACTTTAAAAGACAGTAATCATACCATATGATAGCTCCTTTGTTATATGGACAGCGTTTGCGAATTTCACTACCTGCCTCTGTAACACAAGATTTGCAGTCCGTGTTTGAAACATCGCCGCGACAAAGGGCAAGGCCGTTGGCCTCGTATTGGTATTGCCCAACAGAACCAACACCAAAACCAGTAGGAGGTGCTTTGAAATAGAGATCACCCAAGAGCTTGTTCAAGTTTGTTTCATAAGGACTATTAGTGGTAAAGTTTTCAGAACTTGAACAAAAATGGAAGAGAGGGTCAGCTCCAAAGACAGTTTGGAGAAGGAAAGCAAAGGATAGAACATACAAAGAGGAGGTCATGAATGTTTTTGAGGAAGACATGTTTGGAAGAGTTGATATGGTTTTCTATCCTTGCTCAGTTGCAGCATTTATATAGAGTAAACCCCCTAGGCGTTGGGTCAAGAGTGAGAGAGAGAGAAGAGGTGGAGTGATTGACTTTGTCTCTTTTTGGAGGTTTTTATTTTTATTTTTAATCTTTGTAAGCCAATTGAAGTTTTCAACTTTAGGCGCGCTGTATATAATATTAACATGTCTTTTTTGAAAAGTTCCATTAATGGGTAAGTTGGAGGCGCACTGGATCAACCCTCACATGTGAGTGGAAGGGAGAAGAATTTTATTTCACATGTGAGTGGAAGGGAGAAGAATTGTATTTTTATTTTTTAAAAGGGCCGGTTTTGAATTGTAAGAAAAGAATAAATATATTTTTGTCAATAAACTCTATCTTAAATCATATAAGTTCTCTTTTTTAAAGGTGATATTAAGTATTTAAGTTTGATAAACATAAAGTATAATATGTGAGGATTTTCAAAAGTCATAATTTTTTCAGAAGTCATAATTTTAGACAAGAACCAAAAAGAATTGGACAGTTCCAAACTTTAAGGCTATGTTTGGTACGGTGAGTTTAAAGGAAAATGATAACATTAGTTATGAAGGGAAGGGAATGATAATTTTAATCCCCTTATTTAGTTAATTAATGAAGGAAAAGCAAGGAAATGATAATAATCATGTTTGGAAAGAAGAAGGAAAACAAAGGAAAGAAAATTATTTTAATAAAATTACTAATATACCCTTTAATATTTTAAATTTACTATTATACCCTTTAATATTATATATATATATATATATATATATATATATATATATGTGAGCAATGCTTGGATCCTACCCTATCAGGACAAGTTTTGTCCTCCATCTTAATGTGGCCCTATGAAAACTTGACACATGTCTCTTTTTCAATATTGGATCAAATTAGCTACCCGGGTAAAAATCCATCAGACAAACCCATTTTTTCTTTCCTTCAGTTCTTCCTCTCTCTTCTTCGCTACTTACTTCTAAGGCCAAAAAGAGAAACATTGAAACCCAACACAACATCATGTCACTGCCGTCAAAGTATTTCCTTCATCGCGCATCGCTACCGGAAAATCGCAGTCATCCATTTTCGCTATTGTTCAGCGTCCAACACCAAACCTTTAATTGCAGGTGCCAAAAGCTCCAACTGCAGCAAAAGTACTAATTATGTAAACAATAATTGTAGTGACCCCAACTCCAAACCTCATGATTCCATCAATCCAAACATACCCAGAAATCCCACCAAAATTCATTCTCAATTTTTATAAAACAATTACAGAACCCATGAAAGTACAAATACGTATACATATACATATACAATATACATACATATATATATATATATATATACATATATATATATATATACACCCCAACACAGAGCTACAACTGGGTCTTTTTTTTTTTAACAATTTGTTTTTTTTTTCTTCCACAAATGGAAGAACTAGAGGAATTTGTCATTACTTCTCTGCCAATTTATAAATTGAGCCGAAATCCATGTGATATTCACTGTGCAGATCTGTAATTACTCTTCTTCATCATCATAATCATAATAAGGGCTTTGAACCCAAAAACATAAACCTAGGTTCCTAAAATGTTTCGTTGAAGCTGAATAGAGTCAAACCCAGTAAAACACCGGCGGAAGCAAGGTTGGCAGTGCACTGAATTTGCCTGCTACAACGAACGACGACGCCGAACAACGGCGAGCACGGTTGACAGCGATTTTCCGGTGGGGAAGTGCGATGAAGGAAATACTTTGACGGTAGTGACAAATTTGCGATTTTGGGGTGGAGGGTGGAGAGGCGGCACCACTTGTGGCGGAGGAGAGGGATGGTACATGGAGAGGACTCTGCGTGTTGGTTAGTGAGGATAAGCCAAAGCTTTAGCAAAAAAAAACTGTTTGTAACGGGTTGATCCAAATACTTTCATTTTTTAATATTATACAATATTTAAATTGGTGTCATGTTTTCATAGGGCCACATCAGGATGGAGGACAAAGCTTGTCCTAATAGGGCAGGATCCAAGCATTGCTCTATATATATTATCTCCTGCAAAGGCCCAAGGCTGATGGGCCACCAGAAAGGAAAGAAAATATTTTTAGGGCAAATCATTTCAGCCTCACCCCAATCGCCTCCATCTCTATTCTCGTTGTCAACTCTAAACCGCCTCCATCTCTATTCTCGTTGTCGACTCTGAACTTGCCCTCTCTCTCTCTCTCTCTGTGCAACTGCAAACTACACGAATCAGAAGTTCAAAACCCATATATTTAAGTTTATATATCTGTCTGCATGAATCAAAAGTTCAAAACCTATATCGGCATATCATTTCAGATTGTTCAAAAAATCAAAACCATATCTTTCAGTTTCATTGCCCACTGTTCGTCGCCGTTCGCAAGCTTCAGCCGCTGACCCTCTGTCTGTCAACTCTCAAGCTATATCAAGGTCTGTAATTCTTGTTTTGCAAACTAAATTCACCTGTAATCAAGGGCAGATTTGGCATCAGAAATCACATACCAAGCCTCTCCTTTCTTTTCCTTCCATTTCCTCCGATTTTTGGGAGGATTACAAATTTTACTGTTAAGCCTATTTCTATCCCTCCAAAACCCTCCATTCCCTTTCCTTTCCTTCCAACTTTCAGCCACAAACACGTTTTTTTATCTCCCTCCACAACCTTTCTTTTCTTTTCCTCCCATTTTCACTCTACCAAACTGAGCCTAAATGTTCTTATACATTGTCAAAAAAAAACTTCTAACTTTCCACTGATTCGATCGTCAATTTTCAACTTCTTAATTGATTTTGAAACAGCTGTGCCTCTAGAAGCAAATTAATTATTATTATTATTTTCTTTTATAGATTGGAGTGCCAATGCTCATGATATTAGCAACTAATTGGTATATACCGCTATTTAATAATGATAATATGATCTTCACCACATAATGCATCCACTATATATCACATACTGAAACTATATGGCATTGCTCTATTTCCATTTATAAATTGATTTACTTTTTGAGCTTTGAATAAGTTAGGAGATGACAGAGAATTGTGAAGAATTTATTAAATACTCCTAATTACAGTTGCATCCTTTCAAAACAGCTATTAGGATAAGTGTGGGTAAAGATCTGAGTTCAAATTTCAATGTCAATCTTAAAAATTAATTAAAATTGAAATACATGTAAAATAAAAAATAAAAATAAAAAAATAAAAAAAAAGGTAAAGTGCAAAAAACTCCATTAAAAAAAAAAACACCCTTATTAAAAAAAAAAAAAAAAAAAAAAAAAAGAAAAAAAAAGGTGCATATAACTCTCTGTATTATTTATCTTCGGAGCAAATTACCCCTATCGAATAAATCGGTTGAAAAATAGCAGTTGGTTATGTCATTTAAAAAAAATATATATATTCCAAAAGTACCATTTTGTGTAACAATAATGCTCCTATCAATTTTGTATATATTTAAAACAGTTAATGAGTTTGTTTAAATATACTTGAAGACCTATTCATGGAAACCTTTCTCCCTAATTTTTTTTCTCTATCTCTAAAATATCTCTATATTGCCTTTAGCAATCTGTTACCAATGAGACATCATTTTTATTTTATTTTATTTTTGATACTATATTTCATTTGGTTTGTCAAGTGAGATTCTGGAATCTGTACATCATTTTTAATTTTTAAAATTTCTTAGAATATTATTTATTTCAATATATATATATAAAAACATAATCTTTCTTGCAAATATTCTTTTCTAATTCTATAATTTCTATATATTTTCCTTACATTCTTAGAACTCTCCTTCTATAAGAAAATATAATTTCTATAATTTTATTTTTTTTTAGTCTTTCTAAAATTTCTCTGTCGTTGATAGTACCTCTCTCTAAATCAGAGCACCCGGAATCCGCAAGTCCCAAGAAATTTTATAGTATCAGCAAAGAGCACAACCCGAGAAAATGTTGCTTGACCCACTCTAAAAAATCAGCAGTCCAATTCCAATCTTTTCAAAAAGATCAAGAAAAAAATTAAGAATGAGTTACAAATTTTCAGTATAAGTAAACAGAAATCATAAAAAAAAAATAAAAAAATAAAAAAAAAATGATTCATGAAAAATAGAGAGAAAATTAGATTAAAAAAAATAAAAATAAAAATAAAAAATAAATTACTTCTTGTATTAAGAGGAGGCCACATCAAAGTAATATTAGAAAGTTAAGAAGTTTGAATCAATTCTATGAGAATTTTCATTTGTGTGGACTTGTTTATTTTTTATCTACACATTTTTACACTTACATATTTCTTCTTCAAATGTTAACTTTGTGCACGAAACATGCCTTACTAGTTAAGCAGTGTTGTCTCAGTCTTTTATAAATAGTTGGGTTTATTTATGACTATAGAATAAAAGATTAGGCTAGTGGGTGTGTGAATAAAATTGAGATTGAAGAGAGAGATATTGAAGAGAGAGACAATATGTATATATATATAATATTTATATATATGTATACAAAATTATGTAAGGTATTGTTATGTTATGGCTTGCAGAGAAGGAAATTAAATCATTAAAATATGAATTTAAGGATAATTTTGGCATTTTGCCTTTTGCTGCTTTTATTTATTTTTTATTTTTGCTAATGATAAAGTATGGTTAATTTAGTAGTTTTACTATCAAAATTAAGATTTGTCCTTATTTGCACAAATTGAAAAGTAGAGGAATTTTTTAAACAATAGGGAAGTAATTGCACATTTTGTATATTATGAGAAGATTTTTTACACTTAACCATATATAAAAATAAATAAATAAATAAAAGCAAAGGGTTGATTGAAAATAATTTTCAAAGTGTGTCAACTGTCAAGCTTAATAGTATGACCAAATCACTTGTAACATTCATTTGCATTAAAGCATGTTCTTAGTATAACTCACTTTAATACATTTGATGATACCAATAAATGAGGTCTGGACTTGACAAATACATATATGTTAATGCCCACTCGTGAGGGGTATTCCATGCAAGAATTTATGAACTTATCACCATTCCCGATAAACATGCATGGAACATTATTCAATACTACTGTTAATTCTCGAAGCTTGAGAATGCATGAATTCTATTCCATTGAGTGTAAAATGTTGAACATTATTAGCTAGCTGGAGGAAGTAGGCATGAATTCTATTCCATTGAGTGTAAAATGTTGAACATTATTAGCTAGCTGGAGGAAGTAGACAGTGATAGTAGGTAATTATGCACATGCATCTTCATATATTGTCGCCATTATAAATTTATAATCACCCATTTTGACTTGTTCTCCACTTCCAGATTACTTATAGATTAAAATACATATAAGGTATTCCTTTTACGACTATCTTTTCTTTTATATCATTATATTAGTTTGGAATGGTTTGACCTCATAAATTACCAAACAAATA